AGGTGTTTGTCGCGCTGGAAACGACGTTTCACTTTAGTTGTCATCACTTGTGATATTGGCAAGAGTCTCATTGGGTTATGGACTCTTGATATTGGTGATGTTTAGGCTTGTAGAGTACCGCTGTGCAGAATGCAGTGCTCTCGAAGCACAAATTTCATTAGCCCACTCAAGTGTTAGTTCAACTGATGAGGCTGATGAGACTGATGAGGCGTTTCTTTGCGTTGTTTTTTCATTGATTTTGATGTTAGAAGGGGATTAGGGACTTTTGGATCTTTCCCCTACCAAATGGTACCGTTTACACAAACAATTGTTTTTCGATTTTTTGGTGTTGTGTTCTAATCATTCGCCATGCCACTATCAATTGTATTCTGTTTGCCCGTAAAAGAGGCCTTATCATGATGAGGTGGGAATTCCCCCAAACTCTGTGTAGTTCAAGTCATACACTCACTTACAAATCTACCGGTGTCATGGTAATACATGTATGAAGAGTCGACGAGGAGACGAAAGCTTTAAAATCGCAATCACCTTAGTAAGTTTAAGTACATGTATTGGAATTTGGAAGCTGTTTTCATTCGCAAACATAATCCCAACATATGCATCCAGAAAGAAAATGTCACTAAACTTAGACTATTCTCTTAGCATTCACACACACACATACACCCACCCACATACCCACGCGCGTACTGCTTACACTTCACCCTCTCTGAGTCTTACATTGTTAGTATTTCTCACCTGCCCACCCCTAGGTTATTAGTTCACACTTTTCTTGTCTTTCGCACTTCACCTTCTTTTCTCCTCATTTTCTTTCACATACTGCATTTCGTACTCTTCCAAGTATTTTTATCGTTGTTTATTGCTAGATTTCGTTATTGCATGAGACGTATTTTCCCTGATGAATGTCTCTAGAAACGAGTTCTGAAACCTTAGTAAGTGGAAACAAGGAAAACGGTGGGGCACAAGTTATGCGTTAGAATCCACCAACTAAACCAGGTTTTGAACAGTCAGACGTGCACAAGGTAGCACCAGACTGGAAAGGAGTACTGATTTTAACGCATAACTTGTGCCCCACATGGATGCAGCTAATGGGATTTCGGTCTTTGACCACTTGGTGGTGGGTCTGATCTACTCACCTCCCACCGTTTAGGCGCTGCATCTGCGCCTTTGATCCTAGAGGGTGGTGGCGTTCCCACGGCGGATGCGGAAAACTCGGCTTCCAGCCGAGTCTCACGCGAACCGTGAAATTTATTTAAATTTATTGTGCCCCACCGTTTTCCTAGCTTGTTTCCATTCTAATACTTTCCTTTGCTCACCATCTGACTACTCGCCGTAGTAAGCTTACTATTAAAGGTATTAAAAAAACATTATAAACAGCATATATTTGCCTGCACAAGTCGCTTCACTGGTATATAAATCAATGATCATTTTCACTGTTACTTAGGAGATCCCCCCGATAGGCTATGCCTTTGGGAAATCCTTTAAATAATAAATATTCAAATATTCATAATGAGCGGATATTCCAATATTCTAAATACTCATCCGTCTAAACACATCACTAAGGAACACTGTGTGGGCTCTAGGAACGTTTTCCTGTGACAACCATCAGCTAGAATACGTCACTGAATGGTAAATTAAGCATTTTTCTGTGTAGATATGTTTTAAAGTGAATGTACACAGTATAAGACCAATAGCGATTATAACACTTCAAAATAGTACTACAATTTGAGTGTGATCAAACAAAATGTGTGATTTTTGGAGATGCTTGAATAGCATTCCTTTCGTCTATGCATGAGTTGCGGACCATATTTACGGCCACATTGTCCAGACAAGCCATGATCCTACGAAAATTGTATTGCCGTTTTGGATGAATTGAGCGGAGCACCTCGGACGTACCGTGTGCGATGGGCTGATAGCAATGGAGTAGGGGGGGGGGGGGGGGCGCACATCTACAAATTTATAACAAAGAGGAAGAGATGTTCTGTGCGCATCCGTATAAAATGTTATAAACGAAAAGCAATTATCAGGAGGTACAGTAAAACCTGGTGTAAGCGACCTCTGGGTTTAGCGACCACCTGCTCTTAACGACGGTTTTTCCATGCACGGACAGTTCTACACAGACACTGTGGGACCTGGTTCTAAAGACCACCTGGCTTTAACGACCGCTTTTGTTTGCACCGTGGGGTGGTCGCCTAGATCAGGTTTCCTGTACTAAGCTCTGCACACCGTGTATTGAACACGGTGACCGGTAGTCAAGGTTCTTCTGTATAAACAATTATTCTATGATGGCGACTTGGTGAGTGAGTGAGACTGACGTCATGGCAGCGAGGTCGCTGCAGAGAACACAGTACAGTACCCCCCCCCCCCCGTCGGAGAGCAAGCGGAGCGCGGTGAACGAATAACGTTTGACTGCACTCGACCCTTTCGCGGCTTCAGATCGCTCCACCTCAGCTCAGTGGCCTTACGCTACAGCGCCACGACCAGGAGAAACGCTGCTGCTATTAGG